TCTCTCTCTCTCTCTCTCTCTCTCTCTCTCTCTCTCTCTCTCTCTCTCTCTGTCTCTATCTTTCTCTCTCCCCCTGTAATTCTTTATTGTCCATCTTTTTTCTATATATTTTAGTACCTTACTCTGTCATTCTTATTGACTATCATTTGTCCCTATTTTCAAATTCTTTATATTGGCTTCTGTTGTCAATCAATAAACTTGCTTAGTTTCAGCTCATAATGAAAGATTTTCTTCGGCCAGCCAAATAGCTCAGCAGATTAAAGCGCGTGCAAGCAGGCCCAGGGGCCCAGGGTTCTATCCCTGGGCCTGCTGTGCTGGCTTCGCTCCTGGGGTGCTCTGAGATGGCACTTGAGACTGGGAGTGGTGGCACACATCTGCAATTCCAGCTCTTGGGAGGCTGTAAGTAGGCGGATCACTATGAGTCTGATCTAGTAGTGAGACCCTGAACACCCTGTAGACCCTTCTCTAAAAAATACAAAAGAAAGAGAGAAAGTTTGCTTTCATGACTTTTAATTCATCGTTGTCTACTGTCCTATGTTCATCTGCCTATGTATTACTTACTTGTTTTTCTTTTTGAACATTCCAGTTTCTATTGTGTTGTTTATAATTTTTATTGCTCTGAAAGAACTGTGTTGCAGATATTAATCTATTGCCTGTCATATATCTTGCAGTCTCTTAAGCCACTCTGGCTTGTTATGTACGTATATTTTCCTTGAGATTAGAGTTAAAAATCTTTTCTGATTAACAAATCTATCAGATTTTCTGGTTTGTAGTTTACTAAATGAAAGCAAATAAATGCAATTTAAAACCAAATGCTATTAGTTTAAAAAGAGATGAATATTTATAAAGCAAAATGGTACTACTAGCATTAAAATGGAATATTATCAAGAGCAGATGTGAAGTCATTTGAATTTTGATAGCTGAAATTTACAGATAATAACAGCATACTCTTAAAAGTACATCTAGTAATAAATATTAGTCATTTTTTTGTAATGTGTGCTATATAGCTTACACTTTGTTTTTAAATAATTAAAGGACTGGCCTGCCATGCTGGCCCTGCCCCCAGGACACACTGAGACAGCGATTGTGAGTGTGTGCGGTGGTGTGCACCTATATAATCCCAGCACAGGAGAATCACTATGAATGCAATCTGTGTAGCAAGACCCTGTAAACCCTGTACTAAGTACATTTTTAAAAAAAGTAAAGAAAAGCCACGTGAAGCTGAGGCAGGAGGCTCACAAGTTTGAGCCTCGCCCAGGCAATTCAGCAATCAAGTGAGACTGTTTCAAAATAAGAAATGAAGAAAGGGCTGAGAAGTAGTTCAGTGGGAAGGGCTAGGTTTCAAACTCAGTACTGAAAAAAGAAAATAAAGGATTATTACTGCATTGCACGATACCTCGAAAAACTGCTCTTGGGGTCGCTTACACTTTTTTAATTGCTAATTTACTATGTTTATGTAAATGTTGGTCACTTGTGCTTCATGGGTAAGTTGACACTAATTAGCATATAATATCTATTAAAAATCATCCTTCGAGTCAAAATTCAATTGCCATAAAAAATATTGAATTAATTTGCCATAGTACTTACGACTTTAGCTTGTCATTAGTGTTTAATGCAGTATGAAACTGTCAGACTAGACTGCTCCTGGACATAATGCCTTTAGATGTGTGTTCTTCCCCGAATAATTCAAAGTTAATATATTGTGACTCATTAGTTTGGCTTCTCCTGGTACTTCTCACCTCTACTTTATTATCATGCTGCTAGCATTGTTGCTGACCCTCCTAAGTCATGTTGTGGATTCTCCTTCTTCTCTCCTTAATCTGGCTCTCTGTCTGTCTGTCTGTCTGTCTGTCTGTCTGTCTGTCTGTCTGTCTATCGTGGTACCAGGGATCAAACTCGGGACCCTGTGCTAGCAGGCATGTGCCTATGCCGCTGAGCTCTATCCCTGGCCCCTAATCTGGCACCTCTAATGCACTGTGAATGTAGAAACAAAATCTTAAACCTTTGAAAATTTTGGATAAAGTAAGAAACAGAGAAAGTTTTCATGTGATACTGATATGTAGCTTATTGACTGAACTTATTAATAATTATTTTGATTATTGTTTCTTTACTTTTTACCTCTATTCTAATGCTAAAATTTACTAGATGAATGGATTCTGAATAGTAGAAGGGTACTTTTTATAACAAGATCTTCTTTGTAAAAAAAAAAAAAGAAAGAAAGAAATCCAGGGAATATATTCTTTTGTGGATACTCTTCAGAGAAAGTGCTGATCATCACATTTTCATTTTTCAGAAGCTAGGAATGAAGCTAAAATGACTTAGCCCTTCTGTATCTATTTAACTGGCAGGGGCAAAGGAGGAGTCTCTTACAGATCTGGTGGCATCTCTTCCCTCTTTTCCTTCTTCTTGATTCCAAAGTGTTTTTTGAAATACTCATTTTGGTGAGAGTTTGGAGAACTCGGTTTCACTTGAAAATATTGTGAAGCAACCCTGACGAATGTAACACGAAGCCAAGCCCAGGACACACTAGCACTGTCATCCCAGCACTCGGGGATGCTGAGGCAGGGGAAGGTGGGAGCCCAGCCTGAATAACCTAGCAAACTGGGCGAGATCCCCCAAAACAAAGCAAACAAAAAGGGCTGAGGATGTAGCTCAGTGTGAAGGCCTTGGGCTTAATCCACAGTGCTGAAAATATGTGATATAAAACTAACAACCAATTATACTAAAAACCTTGACATCTGAAATGAATTAGGCAAAGCCAGAACATTTATCTGACTTCTTAAAAAATATGTACGTGCAGTAACTTACAGCCAGTGTAGCCTGGGCATGTGCTGACAGAGAGGTTTATCAGGCAGATGGGTGAGGACATTGTTCATCAGCACCCTGAGGAGGAGAAGAAATCCCAGTGGTCACATTTTGCTGGTTCTTGTTTCATCCTACGCTACCATCGGTCATCTTTTGAAGCCAAGCCAAACCGCTGAGTGAGCAGTCATGTCTGTGTAAGCTGCTCTCTGCCCACCCTACTGCAAGTAGGTGCTTGATGGGACAAAGTCTGCAAGAGCACTTGGCGTGTTGGTGACCGAGCCCATCCACGGAGGGCTGGGGAAAGCGGGTGATGTGACATGACTGTTTTCTTTACCAATAATAATTTCCTTTACCAATAACATATGACAGTAATGTGTCCTTAAGGGCCTTTTGACAAAATGCAGAGTGAAATGACGTTCACTTTTGATGGGCTGAGTTTCTAGAAGGCAGAAAATCTTATAAAAGTGCTAGAATTGTAAATAGCCTTAGAGAAAATGATAAAAAGGGTTTTTAGCTCAAAAATCCATTTAGGAATCCTAATAGTTCCAAATCTCCTGTGCTTATGCTTAAAGCATTCATTTTTATTCATGCGTTTTCTTTCCATGGAAATGTTCATTTTAATTTAGTACTTACAAGAGAATAAGAGAATTTAGGCCATAAAACGTTAGTGGGGAAATTCGACTGAGGTGATTATCTTCAATTATCCTGCCAGCCAGAAGAAAAAAATGGATTCACTTATATATTTTTAGAGTGTAAAGACAAATATCGTAAAGTGGCACAAGAATTGCACATACAGCCACTCGAGTCTGTGGAGATCTTCGAAAACACCCGGCTTCAGGAAGGTTATTCTGTTATGACTGAGATACCTAGGAAAGGAGAAATAGCAACTGTCAAGTTCTACCTTTTTGATGTTTACAATAAAGAAAATTTAAAAAAGTGATCATCCACCCTAAGCTTTTTGACATATCCCCCCCCCCCATTCTGCTGTCTCTGCCTTGGGCATGAGAGTTCCTGTCTGGAAGCTTAGCTCAAGCCTATATCACCTCTAGCTTTGACTTTTCCCACAATTGATAATATAGTTAGTCAACCTACATCTTCTTTGATTTGTTCACTTATTTCTCACATTGTTTTGAGTTGCTACTCGAAGGCCGCATTGGTTTGGATGAATTTGACCCCAAGTGGCCCAAGGCCCAGGCTCTGACCCCAGGGTAGAACAGCTGAGGGGCACAGTAGACCTTCTAAAACAGGGCCAGAGGGAGGGAGGTCTTTCAGTTATCAGGGAGGGGTGCCCTTGAAAGAGACTGTGGGACCCCAGAGTCTCCCTGTTTCTCTTTTGTGCTTCCTGACCCTGAGGTGAGTAGCTTCGGTCCAAGCCGAGCTCCCTGCCAGCATGCTTTTGGCAACAGGGCCAAAGGATCAAGGACTGGAAATTCTAAAACTGCTTTGAGATCGACCCTTCCTCTGCATGAGGCACTTGCTCAGGTGTGTCACCTGAGAGAGCTGACTAACGCAATGGGATCGTTCAGACTGAATCATCCTGTTCTTCGCTGGTCTCTGGATCTGGAGCAGAGATGGGACAGCATGTAAACCATCCAGGGAGCAGAAGGAAGTGTTTAATGATCTTTGCTCTGACAGTGCAGAGCCCTGTGCACATGTCCTTCCAGGCACAGGGGCTACAGAGCTCCTCCAGATTCCCATCCCTGGAACTCTACATTTACAAGGTTATGATGGTAAGTTTTCTATTATGTATGTGTTATTGTAATAGAACATCTTTTCTTTCACAGCGCTTTATATATTTATAAAGGCATGAGTCGTAGTGTAAAAGGAATATCTGGAGGCTAGTGGTACAGCTTAGTGGTAGACCCTGTGCTTGGCATGCGTGACAGCCTAGGTGCATTCCCAGCACCAAAACTCAGACATGAACAAAGGAAAGGACTGAACACCTGGGCACGTCTTTGCTTTTTCTTCTCCCTTGTAAAAGGAAGCCCCAGGCTCTCTCTGTGCACCGGGCCCTGCATCCTGAGAGCTTCCCAGGGATTCTCTCATGGCCCCACCCTAACTCTCAGGGAAGGACCATTATATTTGGTATCTTGCAGTAGAGGGAGCCAAAGCTTAAAAAAGAAAATAAACTGCCCCAGATCATTCCCCCAGGAGTGATCCCATCTGGACGCAGGCTGAAGCCCATCCATCTCTAGTCCCAGGTCTGAGCCCAGCATCGCCCTGTCCCTGCACCACTCTTGCGCCTCTCCTTGCACTGCTGAGGCCGCCGGGACCCAGAGGGTCAACTGGCAGCGTGTCCTGGTACAGCACATGCGTCATCTCTGGTACTTACAGTTTATTAAGGTTGTACAGTCCTCGGAAAGCAAAGGTGGACACAGACCGAATCTGGTTGTTTTGCAGGTACCTGTGAAGATCATCATTCAAAAGGAAAGCAGTGAGGCTGTTTGGGGATAGACTTGGCTGATGAAAGAACTCTACATGCAGATGGAGACAGCGATGCTTAGTTCAACATGTGAACATTCCTGCTGCCTCACAATGGATGCTACAAAACAGATGAGTAGGTGCATTTTATGCTGTATGCATTTTACCAAAATTGAAAAATGACAAACATAGTGGAACAATTTAGTGAAGTTAGATATCATGCCATTCACTTTGCCAAAAAATTCTTATATGTTTAGGCTAGATTTTATTTAGAAATTCCAGTTATCTTGTGCACAAGTAATAGTAAAAGTGTAAGAGCCGGAGAGATAACTCAGTGGCATAAGCACCTGTCTGGCAAGCAAAGGTCCTGAGTTCCATCCCCAGTACCAAGTAAAAGTGTACTGTTTGAGTTTTCTAAGAGTAAAAATTTAATGCACAGTAAAGCGCTCACTAATCAGACAAGCCTAGAAACCATACTTTTAAATACTTCCAGTTACCATTATTCAAATTTGTAGTCAACATAGTGCCAGTTAAATTATAAGCACATGATTTTTCCCCATAATTTTATTGATAAGCAAATAGCAATAAGACAGTTTCAAACAAAATTGGTAGGACAGTTTCAATAATTCACACATTGCATACATTCTTCCTAGTAGTTAATTGCTATACAAGATGCAGACATGATATCCTATTTACA